AAAGAAAAAAAAAAAAAAAAAAAAAAGAATGCCAAGATTAAAAGCACCTTGAGGCCTTCCTGCCTCCAAGAGTCTGCAAGGGCCATGTTGTAGGGGAGCTTGGCACTTGCTCACACGTTTGCACAGAACACACCCTCACAGCCTTCAATTTGCTCCTCACGGCGGCCTCAGGAGGGGGCAGAGGTTTTCACTCTCACTTAACAGATGAGGAAGCTGAGCCTGGAGGCCTCAAGCTTCATTCGAGTCAAACAGCCAATCTGTGGTCCTTAAATATTCATGTAGGGCCCAGTTCCCATGCCCCCCATCTCTGCTTTCTATTTGTACGGACCTGATCTCAAACACCAAACCTTCCACGACTTTGACTCCATTCCCAGATCAGCACCATGTCTGCGGGAGCGTCTGGGCCTACCAACTTTCAGCTCAAAGTACATCCTAAGTTTTCTGGGGCTTACTCAAGGCCACCCAATGTTTCTTCTGCAAACTGGGACTGGTGCCCAGAAGGCAGACCCCAGATGTCGGCCAACCCACAGCAGCCCCTTCCGGAGAGACAGGAAGTGGTGTGGATAATTTCCTTTTATTGGGAAGGTGCTTTGGATTAAACGTAGGTGAAGCCCCTGTGAAAGGGTTAACACAGGGGCAGGTTGGTGGTGGCGGTGATGGGGCAGTGCTGGTTGGTGTGCGGCGGGGCCCGGGGAGACGGAAGGCTGGGCTTCCCCGCAGTCTTTTCCACCAGATCGCAGTGTGGTCCTGCTCTGCTGGCTGCTGCTGCTTCTCCCCGCAGGCGTTCATATCTGTGGCCTCAGCATCTTCCCCCAGGTTCAGGCCCTGTTTATTTGCTCTCGTGTCCTATCTGCTCCTCCTGAGGAAGCCACGTTCAACTAGCAATTCCGGGTGCTCTGAGAGACACAGAGATGGATAAGATACTGCTCCTGACTTAAGGAACTCATGGGGACAGGACAGGGACATCCCTGCCCTTGCAAAGCCTATTGACTAGTGAAGGAGACAGACGGGGACACAGTGAATGCCATGTGTGGCTGCTATGGCTTAGGCCATAATGGAAGTTGGGAAAATCACCTGCATGGGAGGGTAACTAAAGCTGACTCATGGAATCCTGGAAAGCTTCCTGGGGTGACTGCCTGTGAGCTAGACTTAGAAGTGTGGGGAAGATTTGGATGAGGATGAAGAGCCCTCCAAGTGGGGCGAATGGCTTGGGCAAAGGCATGGAAATACGAAGGCCTGGGGGAAAACGAAGAGGCTGCAGACCAGACCACAGGTAGCATGAGACGGGTATGTGGTGATGGGGTTCAAAGGCAAGCCAGCGTTTGGCACCCAAGGTTGACGTTGGCTTAAAAACAGCTGAAGCGTCAGTGAGGCAGTCCTGACTCGTGCCCTTTCTCTCCTTGCAGAGGCCATGCCACTGAAACATTATCTCCTTTTGCTGGTGGGCTGCCAAGCCTGGGCTGTGGGTTGGGCCTACCATGGCTGCCCTAGAGAGTGCACCTGCTCCAGGGCCTCCCAGGTGGAGTGCACGGGGGCGCGCATCGTGGTGGTGCCCACCCCGCTGCCCTGGAACGCCATGAGCCTGCAGATCCTCAACACGCACATCACCGAACTCAACGAATCCCCGTTCCTCAACATCTCAGCCCTGATCGCCCTGCGGATTGAGAAGAATGAGCTGTCCCACATCGCGCCCAGTGCCTTCCGTAATCTGGGCTCGCTGCGTTACCTCAGCCTCGCCAACAACAAGCTTCAGGTTCTGCCCGTCAGCCTCTTCCAGGGCCTGGACCACCTAGAGTCGCTCCTCTTGTCCAGCAACCAGCTGGTGCAGATCCAGCCGACTCACTTCACCCACTTCAGCAACCTCAAGGAGCTGCAGCTGCACGGCAACCACCTGGAGTTTATCCCCGAAGGGGTCTTCGACCACCTGGTGGGCCTCATCAAGCTCAATCTGGGCAAGAATAGCCTTACCCACCTCTCACCCAGGGTCTTCCAGCACCTGAGCAACCTCCAGGTCCTCCGGCTGTATGAGAACAGGATTTCAGACATCCCCATGGGCTGTTTTGACGGGCTTGGTAACCTCCAGGAGCTGGCCCTGCAGCAGAACCAGATTAGTATGCTGTCTCCTGGCCTCTTCCACAACAACCGTAACCTCCAGAAGCTCTATCTGTCCAACAACCACATCTCCCAGCTGCCCTCCGGCATCTTCATGCAGCTGCCCCAGCTCAACCGGCTCACGCTCTTCGGGAATTCCCTGAAGGAGCTCTCTCCGGGCATCTTTGGACCCATGCACAACCTGCGTGAGCTTTGGCTCTATGACAACCACATCGCCTCCCTCCCGGACAATGTCTTCAGCAGCCTCCGCCAGTTGCAGGTCCTGGTCCTCAGCCACAACCAGATCAGCTACATCTCTCCGGATGCCTTCAATGGGCTGGTGGAGATGCGGGAGCTGTCCCTCCACACCAATGTGCTGCAGGAGCTGGACGGGAGTGTCTTCCGCACGTTGGCCAATCTGCAGAACATCTCCCTGCAGAACAACCGCCTCAGACAGCTCCCGGGCAACATCTTCGCCAACGCCAATGAACTCATGACCATCCAGCTGCAGAACAACCAGCTGGAGAACCTGCCCTTGGGCGTCTTCGATCACCTGGGGAAGCTGTGTGAGCTGCAGCTCTATGACAACCCCTGGAGGTGTGACTCAGACATCCTTCCGCTCCACAATTGGCTCCTACTCAACAAGGCCAGGCTGGGGACAGACAGCCCCCCGGTGTGTTTCAGCCCAGCCAATGTCCGAGGCCAGTCCCTCATCATCATCGACGTCAACGTTGTTGTCTCCAGTGTCCAGGGTTCAGTGGTCCCCGAGGTGCCCACCCACCCAGAGACACCCAGCTACTCCGACACCACCTGCATCTCCTCCACCACTGACTTCACCAGCACCACGCAGGACTACACCAGTCTGAGCACCACCGAGACCACCGATAGCCGTGACACGGGGGGCGTGACCCAGGCCCAGAGCGGGCTGGCCATTGCTGCCATTGTGATTGGCATCATTGCCCTGGCCTGCTCCCTGGCTGCCTGCATCTGCTGTTGCTGCTGCAAGAAGAGGAGCCATGCAGTCCTGATGCAGATGAAGGCACCCAATGAGTGTTAAGAGAGGCAGAGGCTGGAGACAGGCCTGGGGAACCGTGGGACCCCCAGAGGATCTGGGATTTCATTGTTCCGCCTCCACCCCTGGGTCCACAGAGCCATCCCCTGCTCCCCCTCTCTCTGGTCCCCGAGAGAAAGGTGTCCCCCACCTTTTCCTGACCTGCCTGGTTCTCCTATAGAAGAGCTTCTTGCAGAGCCTTCTTACCAACAGGGAGACCTAACCCACTGTGGCAAAAACCCTGCGGTGTTCCCACTTCACGTCCCTGGGCTTCTCTCAAGAAAGCCCCTCCTCTAAAGCCTCACCAGCTCCCCTCCAAAAACCACCTTCCCTGCGTCTGTACCCCTGCCAACCTCTATAGACGCAATTATTACACACCTGCCACTTTGTGGCAATGGTCCTCCACCGGGACAGCCCCGGTTTTATGTATTAAGTATAATGTAAGTTGATTCCCCATCTTCACTCCTCTTGTTTGTGACATGGCTCTACCCTGTCCCCTCAATGAAAGGTCTCCCTCCACTTCCTACTCCTGAAGGCAAGGTGGCTTCTCTCCTCGAAGAAGGCTTCAAACCATTTAGCTGATCTCTTAAGAACTGCCAAGTGCCCTGGCTTTCAGGATGCTATGAAAGAGAGAAGGGAAAAATGAGGCTGTTCAGGTCCTGGAGGCCGGACTACCCTCAGCATCTCTTTTGATTTTTATCTGGAAAAGGAAGAAAGGCACCGGTGCAACAAGTTTAGCCGCTTAGAGAATGATATTTCTGAACTGCAAACTTTGCTTTGAAAATTTCAGTCCTTTAAGGAATAAAATCATGAGAATTTCTCACCCCAACCCCCAGAAAAACTTGAAAATCAGCTTATTGGTACTGGATGGAGAAAGCAATTTGGTGTCTGGGGGTCCTTGTGTTCACCCCCAGGATTTTTCGCTTAACTTTTTATGGAAGTGTAATATACATACAGAAAAGCAGGAGCATGATAGTGTATAGTTTGATGGATTTTCACAAACTTTACACGCCTGTGTAATCAGTACCCAAATCAAGAAACGAGACATCGCCAGGATCCTCCATCCTGAGCTTTTACTGGAGAAGGCTGGGGCCTGTGGAGGTGGCATGAGCTTACCTGGGAACTGGCTCCCCATGGGTCAGGATGAGCCCCTCACTGCCCTGCCCCTGCAGCCAGTCCTTGCAAAGGCCCAGCTGCCAGGGTTGGAGGAGAAGTTGTAGGTACACTCTGGCCTGGACGGGAGATTGTATTAAATCCCAGACCTTGAAGCACCAGGCTTGGCCAGGTCAGAGGCGTCTCAACTAGAGAGTCCCTGCCAACAAGCTGTCTGTTGCTCATTGGAGGCTCCTCTGCCTGCGCCTTTTATGGGCATGATATGCCTGTATCTGTTTTTAATTTTCACTCTCCGTTTGGGAAAGTGAAATAGCTCAGAGTTGAGATCCTTTAATTGGACAGCCAAGTATGATGGAACCCAGCAATCCCTCTGGTTGTGGTAAAATTCTCCATCGACATCACAGTCAGCTAGACACGGAACTTCAACATTCTCATACACAGCAGGCAACATGGGTACACAGATAGGTCACACTGGGTCAGGGCCCTCTGTGGAGCCTCTCCCTGCCTGTGGTCTGGTTACAAGAGTTGAGTTGTTTGGTCCAGAGTTGCAGTCACATGAATACCTGCCCTCGCCATTCTTCCTGCTACGTATATATTCACACTGGTAAAGAAAGTACACTCAGGACAATGCATGTCTTTCTCTGGACAACTGGTATACCAGTTTAGAAGTAGAAACAGTGAAATGGAGAATTTCACGTATCTGTGTCTGCCCAGGAAAGAGCTGTATCCAACACTACAGGGATTTGGAAATCTGCTATCAATCCTGACTGGCCTTTACTAGTTCCCTCTGCCCCTCGAGACAAATAAGAAGTCCCCTTGGACCTTAACGGCGTGATGCTGAGAGGTCCCAACAAAACGAATGTGTAAGAACTTGTGCATTTTGTAGCTTTTCACTCTCTGTCACAGGGAATCTGGGAGAGATGGGGCCTGTTAAGGCAAAAGACATAGTATCCCCAAGGTGAGTCTGGGTCTCCAAAATGTTTTCAAATTATAGCACCTGGCGGACATGTGTCAAGGCTTGCCAGGGTCCAAAAGGATGTGAGTCCAGAACTTGGGGCATGGGCATCATTCCACTGATGGCGGCCTGCCATATTGATCCTGGGGCCCGAAGGGGAAGCTTGGCTTGCCCTCCTCCAGACAGGAAGCATGGTTTGGCCCTGCATTCCTCAAGATGCTCTTGTAACTAGGCTCCAGCGTCTCCTTGTGCAAGGGTACAAGTGGGCCAGAGACGTGAGGAAGGAGTCCCTTTCATCCAGTGTGCCCTGCCAAGCTGAACCCAGAACCTCTGGGTATTGATGGCATTGGCCATGACCTTGGAATATCTTCCTCTCTGGCCCAGGATATCACACGTGGCCTGAGGGCAGCTATCCTCAGATGACTCCCCACAGGAGCACCCTGGGTGGGGGTGGTGGACCCTTTGCCTGACCTTCTGAGCTTGCCTGTTCCTTTCTCCCATCAGCGTGGACTGGAAGGAGCCACTGGGCCTCCTCTTCCTTGGCAGGCATTTTGGTCTTTCTGAACCACGTTGTCTGGTCAGGGAGCTGCCAGAAAGTGTGGGTGGAGTTTCCTTTCCAACAGGATGATGCATTTGCTCACTTCTTGGGGCTGGAGTGAGCTGCTTGGCCCCCCAAAAGTTGAGTTCGCTTTCCCCCTTTGCTCATTGGCTTCTAGTTCCCCTTGCCAGTACTCCATTTGGAGTGGAGGGTCAATGTTGGAGGAAAGATAATAAAAGCCCATTAGAACCACTGTTTTTCAAAAATGCTTGCTGTGCATGGATACCCTTCAAAGCACTTAACAGCCATTTTCTTTTTAACCCTCACAGCACCCCTGTGCATGAGTAGTACATGTGAGAAGGTCTAAAACCACTTGTCTTCCACAACATTATTCAGTAGGCTGTGGCTTTACCTTCTCTCTTTAAGCTTTGCACAACCAAAGAAAATGGGACTTACTGTCCTGTTGCTCCCCATACCATTCTTAGCCGTTGGAACCTCACCTGGTACTGTGTGGATCCAACGCTTTGTGAATACAGGAAAAAATTAAACTCATCCACCCGTTAAAGAAAAACTGGCTTCTCTCAAGGGAACTGTTGGGCTGAGTGTATATTGTTCCTCCTCGTTAGAATTTAAGGGCAAAACACCCTTCTCAGAACTCTTCCTGGGAACCAATACAATTGTCACAGATGTCTGTGTAGTGCAGTGATGGGAATCATTTCCAAACTCAGGAAGCTTGTGGCGAGCAGACAGCTAGAGATAACTAGATAACTAGAGTTGCTAAAGAGACACTGGAGGTAGCCCGGCCTTTAGCTATGAATCACTCAAAGAATTCAGCCTACAGATCCCACAGTCGGAACTGAATCGGGGCTGCTGGGGAGCTGGTGGTGGTCTTGGGGAGCAGGTCTTCACTGTGGTTCAGAGAGGCATGGGGCAGACACTCCTCCAGGCCAAACTCCTCCCAGTGTGAGCTCTCTCCTTGACCTAAGGAGAGATTGTTCTCACAAACCTGTTGCCTTCGTGCTACCTTCAAAAGTAGATCAATTTTGCCTCGCTTAAAGGATCATTGCAAATAGTCCCAGGTGCTTGGTGATGCATTTAGAGCTTTCTAGGCCCCCGAGGTTTTATAGAGTGTGAGCCCTGGTGGGAAAGGTTGGGGCTTTGTCTTTTCTGGATGCTGCTTGTAACAGATTTGGTGTGCAGAGTCAGCAATAGATGGTATACACAAGACACGTGTGATACTGTGGGCGCCTTGGCCAGGGGATCTCACTGTTGATTCTATACTTGTCACACAAATGCAAGGCTGACCTGGACAGCCCCCCCGCAGAGACCAATTCCAGGCTGGGAAAGGTCTTTGGAAAGTGAGCAGGGACCAAAATGATGTCTATAGGTCACTGTGGCCAGAAGGGGCCTTAAGAATAGGTTCAACCCATTTTACAGATGAAGAAGGTAAGATTGGGACAGGAAATGTCCCAATCTTATTTCCCCTAGTCACCTAGTGAACTAGTGACTGAGCTTGCAAGACAACCAGGCTTCCAGACTCCCAGGCTGGAGTTTCTTCTATGTCTCAGAAAGGCAGTGAAGTTCACTCAGCATTCATTAAAGTGCCTGCACGCATGCATGCGCATGTGCACGTGCGCGCGCGCGCACACACACACACACACACTCTCCCTCTCTCTCTCTCTCTCTCTCTCTCTCTCTCTTCACTTTGTTCTGAAGCCCCTGGATGAACACCTTCAGGGCCGTTCACTCCCTCCTCAAGCAACTGTTTTCATCCTTGGATAATCCCAGTGGTTAAAGCTTTTCTCTCCATATTGGGCCAAAATTCACCTCCCTATATCACTTCCCCCTTTTAACTCAGAAAGGGTTTACAAACTTAAATAAGCATTAAATAAAGAAACAAACACAAAAGGACAGCAAACCCACAACCCTCTTAGAATTTCTCCTGGCACTGAGAACCCACGGGTGCGTGTGGCCGGCTGCCCAGCTGCGGTCAGTCTGACCTTGCACTGGAGGGGATGTGAATGTGGAGCCCTCAGCCCACAGCAACTTACTAGAAACTTTCTAGGGCCTAGTGGCTGCCCTTAGTGTCCTAAAGTTGCCAAGACCATAACCTTAGCTGGATTTTGGCCCCAACCTGGATCCGTCCATGGGAACAGTTCAGGGTCATTCTGTAATCTGCAGAGGCCTTGCCTAGATTCTCTTCTGCTGTCCTGTGACCCTGGTGACATTCCGGGAACGCTCAGGCCACGTGAGGGGAGGAACCACTGCCTGGAACTTTGATCAGCAGCAGGACTGTTGGGTTCATGCTCACCACTGACCACACCAGAAGCCCTTCTGCTCCTGAGGAAGAGCCAGGGCAGCTGGTCCCCAACCGTGAGCCCCTCGCGGTAGGTTTCTAGG